TGAACTTTTTTTTTTTTTTTTGTACTAGGAATTGAACTCAGGACCTTGTACTTACCAGGCAGGCATTTATGCTGCTAAGCTACATCCCTGGCCCCTGTGAAGTTTTGATCCTTCTGCCTCAGCCTCCCAGAAAGCTGAGAATACAGGCATCCATCAATCACCACTTCTGGCTGTTCAGGACTTATGAAGCCAGGTATCGTGAAGCTAGAATACAGGTGCTCTTGTCACCACTGACTTGTAGGACCTAGTCTCTGTCCCCTGCCTGCGATTCCATCTCCTGTAATTTCCAAGCCACACTGCTGACAAACATTAACATTAAGGAGGAGCCGGATGGGGAAGCAGGGCTACTTCGCTCTTTGTCTTCCGTGCAGAAAGAGGCTCTGTAACCCTGCTCCCTCGAGCCCAAGCAGCACGAGAGCTGCATCTTTGCTGTGGGTTTAGTGGAAATGGTTTGGACTTTCCAGGTAGAGCTGATTTTTTCTCTTAGCAGCGAGGTCAGGGGTGTCGTAGGCAACCGGGAAGCCCCAGGCTCGCCGCCCATTTGCACTGTAGGTCTGCTCAATGTGGTCACCTCACAGTGGTGAAGAGGCCCAGGCACCATTGCAGCAGGTGCTCAGCAGGTGCCGAGTCCTGACCCAGCCTTGCAGCTCCCATGCGTGTGGTCGGGGTGTAACTCCTTCTCGGGGTACAGCCCATGCTTCATAAATGCATTTCCTTCTTTCCAGCCTGCTTAATCTTCGACGTGGCTCTTTCCAAGACTTTAGCCTTGCTTTCTGATTCCATTTCTTCAGGTGTACTTTCCGGAAGTGTGGTAGAGGTGGGGATATAACAAGTGTGGTGAGAGGCAGAGCTGCACGCCAGTCTGTGGTTTTCTGGCCAGCTAGTCACTGATTGTTTTTTTCTAGGTTTTGGTGTACCAGTCAACATTTTCTAGCCACCTTACGGATGGGGAAGAGGGAAGACTTAAAACAGTGCATCGCTGTGTACAGTGGGGAAAGTGCCCTCTGTGTGAGCCTGTGTAATCCTCGATGTTGTACCAAGGGACCCACTTGCCTCTCACATAAACCACAGTTCAAACTTTCACACTTACCTGTGAGAAAATGACAGTTTGACAGATGTGGTGGTGTATATACCTTTAATGCCAGTCCTCGGAAGGCTGAGGCAGGAGGATTGCTATGAGTTCAGGGTCAGCCTGGGCAACACAGTGAGTTCAAGGCCACTCGCATTTGTAATCTGTTTTTTTTTTTTTTTTTTTTTTTTTTGAGGGTGGAAGGGCCTCACTATGTACTTCAGGCTGGCCTTGAACTTACTGTGTTGCCCAGGCTGACCCCGAATTCACAGCAATCCTCCTGTCTCAGCCCCCCGAGGGCTGGCATTAAAGGTATACACCACCATGTCTGTCCACCCTCAAAAAAAAAAAAAAAAAACAGATTACAAATGCGAGTGTTTATAATTTTAACAGCTTTTCACAGAATGCAGCCTCATAGGATGATAGCATTAGGAGGTCCTGTAAGTAGCCACTTAGTCTTAGAACCAGCCCAGAATGCCCCTAAATATTCTTGGGCATTGTACTCTTCTGCTTCCTTTTCCCTTCTCCGCCTGCCCTGCATCATGTGATAGCCCATTTAGGACCTGAGCACCACCCTCACATGCTTCAGCCATCCTTTGTAAGGTACAGCTGCAGCCCCTTGGCCAGCGTGGTCTCCCTCATCGAAACAAAGTCTGATTTCTTGTTCCCCTTAGCCAGATGCAGAACCCGGATGTAATCTGACCAGCCTATCCCAGGATAGGCCTGTGTTCCACTTAGCTGTTCTTGCAGGGGAAAACCAAGTCAGCATTCAGTTTGTTCTTTTGTCCTTTGCTTATTTTCTAGGTCAAAAAGCAAAGTACAACAGTTGAATACAACAAATTGGACATACACTTTAGCCTTTAATAATGACAGTGAGAGAGGGTTCAGCTATCAGCAAGCGGGAAGTCAATAGACTGCTGAATGCCGGGTCGCATGCCAGGCTTAGTGGGTCATAGGAACGGTGAGGAAGAGAGGGGATTTGTGCTGCAGAACCCGGCAGCAGCCCCGGGAGCTGGGGATCCCACAAAGTGAAATCAGGACACTCACTCGGGAGTCTGCGTGAAAGTAGTTCCTTGCCAGTGGCCCCTCTCCTAGCTTCTCGGGAGAGAGGAGCTGGAGGCTTAGATTCTGAAACCTGGACTCCACACGCAGGCGTCCAAGTGCAGAAGAAGGGAACACAGAGTCATGTGAAAGGGCCTTCAGGTCCTAAGCAGAAGTCCAAAAATTGACAAATGTAGTCTTGTAGAGCTTTCCAGCAGTTTAAAAAGTATGAGCAGATAAGCAGATGTCACCAGACATTGAAAGAAAGCCTGTGACATACAGAAAAGGCAAAACAAATAGAAGAGAAAATGTCTCAAAGAAAATAGTAAAATCAAGGTAGAAAAAAATTAGCTATGTAATATACTGAAATTATTTTTAAATCTTATAATCCTGAAAGGTGAACAAAATTCCTTTGAAAAAAATGCCACCCCCCAAAAAAAAAACCTACAACACAGAAAGATTGAAAGATATGATTTAAAAGTTCCTAGGTGATAGACCAAATGAAAGAGATGGAAAATAGAACTAAGGACACTAGATTATTCATTGGTTCATTGATGTTAGCAGAAGTTTAGGAAGAGAAAACAAGATGCACTAGGGGGATGAAAATTACCAAAGAATTGCAAAAATACAGAGATTTTTCCAGAAAAATTTCTAAATACTTTAGAGAAAACAGTCTCTTAAGATCAATACTCGAATTGGCATTAGATTTCTCAAAAGCCTTATGCTAAAAGGCTATTTTCAGAATTCCAACAGAAAAAACATTTTCCTCCTGACTTAGAGGTTTAAGTGGCCTGACTCTCAGCACAGTTTGAGGGTAAAGGCATTTCCGACATGGTGTCACCCTGCTGAGGAGGCTCGCTCCAGAGAGGGGCATAGAGACCAGGACTGAATGGAAGCCAGGAAACGGGGGTTAGGAAAAGGAGTCATGGGGAGTGAGTTCTGGTACAGGTCCTGACAGAGGCAGTTAAAAGGAGTTTCACACCCTACGGAAAGTAAAAATTACTCAAAAAGTAAATATAGTGGGCCCTTGACTTGTGAACTCGGTCCGCTCCCTGAGGCCAGTTGTAACTCAGGTCATCAGCCAAACACTCAGCTCCTCTGCATGGCCTTCAGAGTCTCCTTAAGGGACAGATCCCAGAGTCCATGGAGAGACACAGCCCAGGATTTCTCAGCTAAGCCCATACAGGGGAGGATGTGGTCATGTTTCTTACAGAACTCTTCAAGGGTTAAATCTGGATCTAAGACCCATTGGAAGCACAAGCAGCTCGCGTTTTGGGTCATAACCCATAACTTTGGGCATAAGTTAAAACTAAGATGCCAGTCATAGCCCCAGTTGTGCTGGGTGTGGTGTTGCATGCCTGTAATCCCAGTACTTTGGAGGCAGGAGGATTACCTCAAGTTCAAGGCCAGTCTCGGCTTCATAGTGATTTCAAGGTGAGCCTGAATTATAGAACGAGACCCTGTCTCCAAAAAAAGAAAAGTGACCTAATTCGGAAAGATGAGAAGACTGTGGGGTGTATATTAAAGGGTGTTGGAACCAAAATCTAATCCTTCATCACAGGGGTTCAGTTCATAATGTCAGAGTTACTATTTGCTGCGTAACAAACTACCCCAAACTTAGTGACTTGAAGCAACTTCTTTGCAGTTTTCGTCTTGTCGCTGTTGTTTGAGACTTAGAGTCCTGCTGTGTAGTCCCAGCTGGCCTGGCACTCACAGTGGTCCTCCCAGCTTCCTGAGTTAGGGGACGACAGCTGTGCATCACCACACCCGGCTACCCCCTGATTTCCGAGGGTCTTTCCTGCAGTTTTGGGGCAGGTGTTCACCAGGACTGCAGCCTCCTGCAGGCTAGACGGCCTGGGGGATCCCTCCCTCTGGGCCTCTCCTCCAGGTGCGTTTTGGAGCTTCCCCCACAGAAGTGATTCCAGAGAGTGGAGGAGAGGGACCGACAGGATTTGACTCTGATGAAGATCCTTCGTCGTTCAGAAAAGGAGCAACACCCCAGAGGACTGGCTGCAGATGCTAAACTCGAGTTCTGTGACAGAAGACACAGGAGCAGCTCCTAAGTGGGACAGGTGACACACAGAGACAAGCATCTGGCACCAGGCGCCCTGGCGTTTTGCTAATACAGAGCCTGAGGAAATCATTGGTCTCCGGTTAATGGAGCTCAGAGCTATAAATGGTGAAGCTCATTGAAGGGAGTAGCTTTTGGGCAAGTATTTGGAAAGCACTTCGTGGAATTCCTCGGACACACGTCTGTCAGAGCTGGCTGCAGACCAGAGGAAGAACTGGCCTCTGTCCCTTTGGGCACACAGAGCAACGTCTGTCTGCAGCACTGGCCTCGCCTGCTGGGATCACTCCCTGTGGAGGAGCTCTGGGCTGCTGCTGCCTGCCACAGCCCTGCTGCCCCAGCTTGAGAGCCCACAGTGTCAGCCCTGCCCTTGGTCACTGCCAGGCTCTCCATTCAGGTTTGGCCTCGTTTCTCCTCGTCGCTCTCTGGCACTGTATTTACTTCTCTGATGAAACATACTATTAGGATTGTCAGTGTCCTGGGCAGTTTGTTCATCTGTCCCTCTGCCTTCTAATCCAGCCAGGTTTGCAGTAGAGTGTCGAAAGAGTCAATGTCTGGGTGGCTGCAGGACTGGAGAGGGCTGCGCCGGAGGCTGCAGGCTCCAGCCAGGCTTGCATTCAGACTTGCATTTCTAAGCCTTCAGCAAACTTGTCTCATTTCCACTGTGCTCCTGCAGCCAGTCTGTCAAGTCTGAGCTTCAGAGTGGTACGCAAAGGCCATTAGCATCACTGTGGTGACACAGGGTCATCAGTGGTGGGCACACACAGGGTCTTTACATTTGTATTCCTCAGTGTCTGTCTTTATGTCTCACTTTGCCCACAGATCGGGGACCACAAGTTCAGTGCCCACCGAATCGTCCTAGCAGCGTCCATCCCATACTTCCACGCTATGTTTACCAATGACATGATGGAGTGCAAGCAGGATGAGATTGTCATGCAGGGGATGGACCCGAGGTACGCACATCCTTCGTGTGTTCCTGGTCACCTTCCAGGAGCAGCTTCCCCTGAGCTCAGGGCCACTTGAAGGCCTAACGGCGGCTCCACTCAAGGAGGTGGTTAGGAAAAGGGTCAGCACTTCAGCCAGCAACCTAAGATGGGGTTAAAATGAAGGGAGTTGATTTTTGTTTTTGTAGTGCTAAAGGTTCAACCTTTCACATTAAACTATATCCCCGGCCCTTTTTAATTTTTCATTTTGGGACAGAATCTCCCTAAGTTCCCTAAGCTGGACTCAAACGTGCCGGTCCTCCTGCCTCAGTCTCCCAGAGTATTGGGGTTAGAGCTGTGTGCTGTCATGCCTAGTTTTTTTTTTTTGGGGGGGGTACTGAGGATTGAACTCACGACCTCGTGCTTGTCAGGCAGGTGCTTATGCCACTGAGCTAAATCTCCATTCCTATGAAGGGAGTTTTGATGGTGTATTTACCCTACTATTAGAACAACACAATTAGTAACATCTAGTGTCCAGGATGTTTCTAGCATTTTGCACTGGGGCTGGTGGCGGCACATTACTCCAGACTTTTCTGAACCAGCTGTTGTAGCTGACAAAATCATTCTAATCAGTGTCTGTGCTCACATTCCACCTTGTCAGTCTAGCATAGTGCTTTCCACTCTGCATCACAGGAAATAGTCCATTCATACCATGAATGGCAGCCGATAGCCACAGGAAGCTGTGGGGCACTTGACATGTGACCAGAGGAACTGAAGAACTTAATCTTAAATTTAATATTAATCATTTGTCAGGAATGGAGGCTGAGACAGGAGGATTGCTGAGAGTTCAAGGCCAATTTGGGCTACAAGACCCTGTCCAAAAAAAAAAAGTTTAAATAGTCAATGTGTGGTTAATGCTATAGTAGTCTAGGGTGTTTCTCTGATGCATTAGCTAATCAGGCACAAAGAGGTCAAGCCCAAGATTTCCCCAGTAACTGTCTAACCTCTTAACCTCCTGGTGGCAAAGCTACAGGGAGGGAGCCAGGAGACCGTGTGGTCCCCTCTGGATGGCTGAGGATATCCACCTACACATGGAGAAGGGGTTTAGCACCACAGGGCTGAAATCTTAGGTCACTGCTTGGAGGGAGAGACTCAGCTATGCGGCCTGGGGCAGCTGCGTGCTCTTCTGAGATCAGGGTCTGAAAGAACTCTGCTGGTCACCACGTGTGTCCAGGTGCTTCCCTTCCACAGGCGGACCTGTCATTGGGGACGTGCAGGTTTGAGGCAAACGCAGGTGGTGGGGCTGGGAGAGGAGAGGAAAGCAGGCGAGGGCTCTGGGGCAGGGGGGGTCTGTGCCAGGTCAGGGAGGTGGCACTTGATGGGGCTATAGCCGACACGAGACAGTGAGCCTTCTCAGGAAAGCCCTGGAATCAGAGGGAGTAACCAGTGCAGAGGCCCCGAGGTGCAGATATGTACAGAATGGAGCAGGAGAGGAAAGAGCACACGTAATGAGGTCAGACAGGTGAGAGGGCCGGACTTATACAGCTCCATGGCTGAAATTCAGATTTCAGTCTCAGTGTGAGCTGGAAGCCAGCTGGAGTCTCATGATAGTAATTTCCTCCAAAACAGAATCCCAGAGCATTAAATGGCAAAAGATGGAGGTTGCTGTGGTGCCTACCAATAGGGTAATAAACTCTAGCATATTTCCATGGTGAAATAGCATGCAGCAACCTAGCAACTTCCTGAGTGTTTGGTTGGTAAGGGTTTTATGATCTTACCCGTCTCATTTGTAGGTGCAGATGAACAGAGACAAAAAATATGAGCCCAGCAAAATGACCCCCATGACACGTTTTATAGTGAATTTGTGGCTAATTGTTTTCTTTTTCAGAATTTTCTGCCATAAAATTGTCTGGGTGGTGCAGAAAGCTGGGGAGTGGGAGGGAGGTTGTATCATGTAGACAGGTCCTCAGAGGTCATGGGCTGTGTGGGTTCTGAGCAGGGTCCCTGTCCTTAGGTGGCAGTGTGGGTTCACGGAGAACCCCACTCCTTTCTGCAAAGCTTCTCACATCTTCCCTCTTCCTCCAGTGCCCTGGAAGCTCTCATCAACTTCGCCTACAATGGCAACCTGGCCATCGACCAGCAGAATGTGCAGTCGCTGCTGATGGGGGCAAGCTTCCTGCAGCTGCAAAGCATCAAAGACGCCTGCTGCACGTTCCTCCGAGAGCGGTAAGGTGACACTCAGGGCACTGCCCTATCCTTTCAGTAGCCCCTGCCAGTTGGCTGGGTCCCTGTGCACCTGGGTCTTAAGAGGTCAGTGCTACTAAGGGGTGCTTCCTAAGCATGGGTGACATTTCTCGAAATCAGCAGTGCCTACTTTGGGGATGAGCCTTTTGCATAATATGCAGCCCTGCCTGCCATCATCCTGGAGGTGAGGAGTCCCTTTTCCCATCTTCTCACTCCAGACTGACCAGCCACACATTTTGCACTAACCTGATTTATCCTGTCCTGGTTACTTTTCTCTCATTGCTGGGACAAAATACCTGATGCCCAAAATGAAGGAAGGAAAGGTTTATTTCTTACAGTTTTTGGAGGTTTCAGACCATACTCAGTTGGCTCCAAGGCAGGGTGGTGTGACTAAGGGGCAACCATTCATGGTGGCTGCACACAGCAAGAACAAAAGGGCAAAGACAACAAAAAACATGCCTTCTTCTCTCCTTTATATTGTATGCTAGCTCCACCCCTGGGTAGGTGCAGTACTCACACTGCTAAAACTAGACAATGAACCGATCATATGCACTAGATTCAGCCACCTCCATGACTGCATGAAGCTTGAGACACAAACCATAACAGTCCCATCTTTTCTAACTGTTCCCTAGCCATCTCCATTTCTACCTGAATTTCTTAACCTTACTTTTCATGCCTTGGCTTTCTGGAAGAGCCCACCCTGGAACTCTCCATCCCCCTCTGTCCTCTTTTGGGCCCAGAGATGTATGATGTCCCCACCTATTTCCAGTGTGTGGCAGATGGCTTTGTGGTTCTCCATGACCTACTGAGTAAAGGGTGTGAGACCTCCCTCCCCCTCTGCCAGAAGACCAAGCTCTTCATCATAGCTAAAGGCCATTTCATCAGCCTGGGAAGGAGGCAGTGCAGGGCCACATGCAGCCAGAGAGAAACTGCACTGTACTGTGGTGTGTAGGGCTCTCCAGGTCTGGCCCCTGCCCGGCCTCTGCCCAGCCTCCCGTGGACACCAGGCTCTGGCCTGAGCCTTCTCTAGCTCAGCTCTGCCCTCACTAACCCTAGCCTGTCTTCCCATTCTCACTCCTCTGGTCCCACACACTTAGCTGCTTCTGGTCCCCACTTGCTGTCCCTTTCCTCCCCCAGCACTGGACGGGCATGGTGAGGATCGCTGTGTGTGCAGTTGGCTGTAAGCACCATGGAAGCAGGGCTTTGGACACAGGCATTCATGTGCTGGGTACAGGGTGCAGAGTGGGGTCCTGATAGCACGGTCTGTGCCTGCCTTGGATGCTCCCAGGGCAGGCTGGAGGGGGCTCTCTGAGGTGCACAGGGCATACACTGCCATTTCCTACTTATGTGCAGGTGCAACCCTTGTAGCATAAGACTGATTCTGTCATCATGGTGTGTAAACTTGGGTGTCAGGCCCATGTTTATCCTTTAGCATATTTCTGTTGCTGAATTATTAATTTTAAGTTTTTTTAGTTTTATTATATTAAACAATGAGTACTTAACAAGAAAATATGTCACAAAAATAGAGTATTCAGTTTTTAATATTTAGTGAACATTTATAAAAAAGCATCAAGATTTTCAACAACAGCTGGTTTTTGGTGTACGGAGTCTAGAAAAGGACATCAGAAATAAATTCCCGTGTGAACTACAATGAAAACACCAATGGCACACTACAAAAAAAATCATCTTTACTTCGGTGGTCACACCTGAGCTTCTGCACATGTGACAGCAGCACCTTCCACACACGCACACTGCTTACGCTGACAGCACGTCTCTCTGCTCTCCTGGCCCTTTTGAGGGCACATCTGACATCTCAGAGGTCTCACTGTTTGGTCAGGCTCTCACTGTGCTACACAGTGCGTAATTAGCAGGAACATAGGCTATCAATAAAATAAATTATTAAATTCTTAGAATGCACTGTGCATTTGCATAGACAGCATTTCACATTAGCTGTGTACTTCCTCACAAAACCTAAAAGATAGCATCAGAGCTAGATTCCTCTAGGAACGGCAATCAAAGCACCAATAGAACTCCACCATCAAAACAGGCTTGCTTCAGCTGCCGCACCACGGCAGTCTTCACACAGAACAGCTGTGTGTGCCATGCACCCACCCCGCTTGCACTGACAGCATGTGTGCCTAGCTTAGCTTTCCTTTCCTGTGTGGCAGTCTTGTCACCTCTCTTCTCTCCCTGTTTTGCTGGGACCTTCCTACTCTATCGTACAACATGCGCTTAGGGAAATAAAACATGGATAAAATACAGCATCAGGTACGTAATGAATGCCCAGAGCAGACATCAGCACTCTCACATCAGCTGTTTACAAGCTCACAAACTGAAGGAGAACATCGAAAATAAAAAGCCACGTGAACTGCAGTGTAGACACAAGCAGAAGGCAGCCACAGAAACAAGCTTTGCTCAGCCCTCACACCAAGGCCTCTTCCCGTGAATAACTGCGTGTTCCACACACAAGCACCCTCCCATTCATAGCACGCATGTTTTGTTTTCCTGTCCTTGGTTGCAGGGCACAGTTGACATCTTCTTTGTTTTCCTGTTGTTGTAGTAGGTGTTCAAGATGCTGTGCCTGCCTGTTTATCTGTCAGCTCACCAGTGTGTGTGCGCCACAGTTTTTTTGTGTAGTTCCCTGGGCAGAAGCATTCTGTGTTTGCTTTGCTGTAACTGATCTCTTAGGAGCTCCAGTCCTAATTCTTTTAAGAAAATTCCTCTATGATATTTTACACTTGTTATTTTCTCTATAAACTATCAAAAACTATTTTTGCCACACATTTAGGATCAAGTAAAACAACTGCTGGCCAATGCTTTGTGTTTTAAGTAACATCCTAGATGCTGCATAACTCATCAAAAACATCTGCTCCACCTTTGCTTTTCTTGTTGAAAGTTTCCATCTCAGGCTTCCTTTCTTTTGAGATTTCCCTGTCAGTATTTCCATCATGCTGAAATGTTGGCATCGGCAGTACCAGTTTGTTTCTGTTTGCTGTATAGGAGACCAATGTTACATCCTTCTGAAATCCAAATTTTGTATTATATAATTCTCTTTTTTTGAAATGTCAATATTGCATTTGGAATTTCTAATTTGTTTCTGTGTACAGTTCCTGTGCTGGTCAACTTGTGCTCTGTTAGCAAAAGTAACATCAGTTGAAAGCCAGTAATCCAACTGTTGAATGTTACATTCTGATTAGGGAGATGGGAGCAACAAGTCTGTTCGTAACATCACTCAGTTTATTCCTACAGTAATAAGAACCTGGTGGCCGAGTTCCAGGGTAAATGTCTAAACTGAAAGCATAATATGTGTTTGTAGATACAATCTACAGTGGCCTAAATGTTATGCCATATTTTGGTCCATCAATTTTCCATAAGTCTCACATTCCTGTGATCACCACGAGAAATCTGTGCCACATACAGCAGACCTATTGACGTGTCATAATAAGTATGTTTTTTAATGTGGATACTGATATACATAGAACAGAACTTTTTTCTTGTATTTCACTGTTTGACAGCATATGGTAGCATTTTGTCTGTTACAGTTTCCAACACTGAGTGGCAGTGCTGACATTCTGTCCAATACATTTCACCCCTACCAGGACCCTCACTGCATTTCTGACCCATTTCTAACACTGGATCATTCCAGTTGGTTGCATGGCCATTTTGCAACATGTTGATGAGTCACATGTGTACTTACATTGCTTTTTGTTGTTGTTGTTGTTGTTGTTACTTGAATCAAGGAGGTCTGTATTCCCTGTGTCCATATCAGTTGATTCTTATTTCATTTCCCTGTCATAGGAATTTTGGCTCACATGGCCAGTGTCAAACTCATCATCATTGTCCACCCACACCACTTTTTTTTTTTTTTTGGTCTTTCTGAGACAAGGTCTCACTATGCACTTCAGCCTGGCCTTGAGTTTACTTTATAACCCAGGCTGGTCTCAGACTCACTATGATCCTCCTGTCTCAGCTTCCTGAGTGCTGAAATTACAGGTATATTACATCATGCCCACCCATCTTTGTATGAGTAATCAGATGATTCACTTTTGATCTCCTTTGAAACTTGCAAATATGATTTTTCATACTCTGTTGTACTGAATTGGGCTATTTGTACCAGAAAAAAACAAAAGAAAGCTTTTATTTATTTATTTATTTATTTTAACAAATCTTGGAGGGGTATGGGTCTGTTGGATCCTCTGTGATGCTCCAGTAAACCTACACACAATCAGCCAAAGCATAAAGGTGAGCCTAAATCCATTTACCACTTTTGCACAAGTGCACACTCCTCACCAATGTTCACATCAAGTAGGTAAACACGTAGATTACTTCCTGTATTCCTCAGTGAAAGGTACTGAGGTACACAGCTGGCAACTATAATGCTAAAGTACAAATTTCCAGTGGAAAGTAAGGGATGGGTCCGCTGGATCCAGGCTTAAACCTTAAGGGTTCAGACAGATCAGCTTCTTCCCTTTGTTCCTATGAAACTCAGAGAATGACTTTCTAAAAGTAGACGCTTCCAGAATTAAGTTGGCCATCCTTACACCTTCACTAGAGAACAACATCTCCCCCTAGAGGCCTTTGAGGTCACCACCGTTGCTGGATTTGGGCTCCTAAAAGATTCTGGACCTGTGCGGGTTTTACATGCTATAGTAACATTTTGGGAATAAGGACTTAAATATAAATCCTGGTGTCCTGAGTCTGTCTGGCATTTTTTCAGTCAGCAACACAACACCATCAGAGACTTACGCTCTTACCTCATTCCTGAGTCTTCCCTGCCACAGGCCCCAGAGCCGTGGCCTGTTTCCTGTTTTTCTCTCTAGTAGTTACTGAACCTGCCTGTGTGTCTTGAGTGGCTCTCCCTGAGCCTGCAAAGTGACACAAGACCCTGAAAACGAGCACCTGGATTCTGCGCTTGGAAGCTTTGGTCGCCAGCAACGAGGAACAGCGTCCTAGCACTGATGGAGAGAAGGCTGTGCAGCAGAGGCACTGGGGCCTGTGGGGGCTTCAGCCCCCTGCTTTCTCCCCAAGGCTCCAGCTGGCTTTTTTATCTTATGTTCTTTTTCCAGATATCTGGGCCTCCTTGGTGGAGGCATTAGTGTTCTCTGAAGCTGTTCTCTCCAAACTTGATTAATCTGTTTTGTTCTTGTTTGTGGTGCTAAGGATTGTGCGTCCTGGGCCCGCTGAGCTGCACCTGCCCTCAGAGCTAGGTTTGTAATAAAAGATGCACTGCTGAAGTGAGCCACATGCCTGCACCATCACTGCTTCCTGCTTCTAGTAAAGTGTCACATCTTACAGCTTCCTTGCCATGAAAGTTGAGCTATATCAGCAAAGAATGGGGTTGCGAAGTAGCTAACGAAAAATGCGGGTCTGCATTTCCCTGTTAGGCTTATTTCCTTCCTGCCTCCCTCCAGAGTGGGCCTCTTCCCTCCCGGCAGCGTCCCCCAGACAGGCTTCCCACCTCCCATCCTCTTGGACACGGTACCGCAGCTCAGTTAAGATGCGTTTGGTGCTCAGTACCATATCAAGCCTGCCGAGGATGAGGACCAGGCATCCTGACCTGGATTGAGAAGACGGAAGGAAACGCTGGGAGCTGCCCACATCATCCTTGCCTTTATCTTTGTACTCAGTCCACTCCCGTGCTTGGCCCTAGCTAGATCCTGTGCAGTAGAGCAGAGTGGCAGACCCAGGGAAGATTGGTCCTCATAGCTGCTTACATTTGTGAAGCACCCTATCAGCTCTTCTTCAGTCACTTTGAGGCTTTAGGAGGAAGCACGTGACAGATAATGCTGGGCCTGGGCTCCCCACTGCCTGCTGTGCACCGTACCCAAGTCTGGTTTCCTCAGCCTTTGGAAATTTCCCTTATGCTTCCAAAGCAGTGAGGTGGACCAAGTTCAGACTGTTAGGAATGATCATCACGTGTCTGAGATACTCTGTCTTTTGGGTGACAGGTCTGCTGCTGGGGGACATGGGTGGTTATTGCTCAGTATACATAACCCTGCCTGTAACCTTCAAGTCACCCTGAGGGAAGAAGAGAGAAGGGAATCACTGTAATGAGGGAGAATGAGCCACGGCAGGTCATCATCAGTCACCGAATCAGAGTAAGAAAAGGTCTGTCCCCCGGAGTCTGCTGCTGTCACCAGATGTGAGAGTCGTGTGTATGCGTCTGGAATCAAGGACAACAGCCGTAATGGAAATGAGGGCAGTAGCCAGCTTTGTACAGGCACCGGCTGAGTGTGTCGGCCTACAGTCTTTCTTCCTTTTTTCACTTTTTAATTTTAGAGACAGGTCTCCCTGGTTGCCTAGGCCAGCCTCAAGCCTCAGGCTCAATAGGTCCTCCTGCCTCAGTGTCTCTGGCCACAACCTGAGGAGGTGGGTCGCTGTTGTCATCTTTTTCCAGGTGAAGAACTGGCTGGCGCCTGGGAGGACTGAGGGAACCTACTCAGGTTGCCCAGGGAGGGGCGGGACCAGGATTACCCTGACCCTGAAGAGAACTAAGTGAACCATTCTCCCTTAGTGCCCCAGGAATTGTGCAGGAGGCTGGGTTCAGTCTCAGCACCACGCTTGTTTGTCCAGGGGCTTGGAGCACATTTGCTTGGTTGCTCTGTGTCTGTTTCCCATCTGTAAAGTGAGAGCCATGTGAGAACAGCCTGTAATCCCAGCGACTTGGGAGTCTGAGGCAGGAGGATCGAAAGTTCAAAGCTGGCCTGACCAACTTAGCAAGACTTGTCCTAAAATCAAAAAATGGAGCTAAGGATGTGGCTTAGTGATAAAATGCCCCTGGGTTCAGTCCTCAGCCCTGGAGAACAGATTCTGGAGAATGTGTGGAGTGGAGTGTTTCATCCTCAATGGTGGCGAATCGATGGCAGCTGCTGCTGCTATTTCCAGAGACCTGAACAGTTAGGTCTGTAAAACCTTTCATCTGAGAGAAGAAAAAAGCTCCTAAGGGGCCTGATGTGAGGGGAATCATCTCAGTGTTCTCTCAGCTGTGGGTGTAGCTCAGTGGTAGAGCACTTGCCTGCCATATGCAAGGTCCTGGGTTAGATTTCCTCACCCCACAAACATACCCCGCCAAAAAAAAAAAAAAAAGACAAAAGTTTCTCCTCATGACTTAGCCTCCTCTGCAACCCGAGTGCCTTTCTGGTGACCAGGGGTGGAGTTGTGCCCTGGACACCAGCCAGGAGCTGCAGCGGCCGAGGTGGCAGGCAGTGTTTCCAGCACACTTTGGTCCTCTCCTGACAGCGGCATCCCAGGGCTTCCCAGGGTTTCTCTGCCTCCCACACAGGGCAGCAGGCCTGTGAAGCAAAACGCTTTGCAGATAAACTGCCCTCATTTGGTGCCCTTAGAGGCTGAGTCCTGGATGGTGTCCCGGTATGCTTGGTGTCATGAGGGGTTTCCAACAAGCTAAGGACAAAATGAGTCTGTTTTATTTCCGGGGCCCACCCCCAGAACCGTGCTGAGAATGCTCAGAGGCAACATTCTTCCCTCCTCTAACTTTTTGGGTGTTTTTTTTTTATTATACCAAAAGGCTCCACCCCAAGAACTGCCTGGGTGTGCGCCAGTTCGCCGAGACGATGATGTGTGCCGTGCTGTATGACGCGGCGAACAGCTTCATCCACCAGCACTTTGTGGAGGTGTCCATGTCAGAGGAGTTCCTGGCCCTGCCAGCAGAGGATGTGCTTGAGCTCGTGTCCCGGGATGAGCTGAATGTGAAGTCAGAGGAGCAGGTCTGTGTTCCATACTGGGCTCCCTATCATTGTCTTCTGTTGAGTTTTGAAGTTAGGATCAGCTGGGGGCATAGCTCAGTGGCACAAGCACCTGCCTGGCAAGCACCAGGTCCTGCATTTGATTCCCGGTACAGGAAAAAAATTAAGTTAGGGTCATGGTGCATATGCAGCTATTATGTATAGTGAGGTGTGTTTTATTGTATGTGTTGGTGAAAATATTTATATTTTATAGTCCAGATATTCTGTTTATCAGCTCCACTTCCCTTATTCTTATGTGATTGGGTTATTTCAGGTATCTTCTATTAGAAATAATACTGCCAGCAACTGGAAATAGCAAAAGCAGACAACTTCTGAAGGAAAGTTTTTCTAAAGAAGAACGGAACCTGGGGCAGTCGCCAAAGGGAGTGTGAAACCCAAGGGGCTGGGGTTTCTGTCAGGGCGAGGGGCGTACAGAATACAGTGTGTCTGACTGCCAATGAGACCTTCCAGGAAAGAGGAGAATTAGTCATGTCAGAGGCACAACTGGGCTGAGTTCTGAAGGGAGAAGAGACAGGTCGAGGGCCCCAGGGTGCGTGGGTGGTACGGAGAGCCAGGCACGCGTGCCCACATCCTTCCAAAGAGATGTGTGGATCTTCACTGCGCTCTCTTCCAAGTCACTTTTGTCCTCTCAGCAGGGGATGAGGAGTGGCAGCATACAAGAGTGTGCGCTGGCCTTGGGGTGCAGTAAAGGACAGCGCTGGGGAGACAGAGAGGGCTGGGTAGGTAGCAGATCAGTAGTCACAGACATGAAATGAGCAGGTCCACTCTGCAGTGTGTTCTCCACCAGCTACATGCCCCAAGGCCAGCACGGAGCAGGGGCAAGCAGAACTTGAAGAGCAGACCTCGTGGGCCTGGAGCTCGTTTTCCAGGTGTGTTTCAGAGAGGAAGCTAGAAGTTGGGCCTGGGAACCAAGGGTCCCTGGGTGACAGCCCGTGGAACCCTTTCTGGCAGCGAGATGGGGACAAGGGCCAGAAGTGGAGCGTTGAGGAGGGAGTGGCAGTCAGTGTCAGAGACAAAAGGGGAGGTGATTCCGAGCTGAGCGGTTGGAGGAACCAGCTCTCGGTAAAGCCAGTTACAGAGTAGGAGGGCAAAGCTGTTGGCAGAATGAGCTCTGGAGCCTAGGGCCCTCTAGGGACAGAGAAGACAGCTGTTGGCATGGTTGAGAAAAGCTAGAATGAGAGCACAGACTTTCAGCCAGACAAGAACATGGGGCCAGCCTTTGACTGGAACCCACCTGTTGTCTTGGAGGTGTCATGCAAGCCATTGTAGGAGAGTGGCGAGGAAGTGTTACTTCGAGCAGAGACCGGCAAGGGCTGCAGTGCAGGCTTAGAAGCATGGCCTGGCCCTGCGTGCCCTGGGAGCATTGCTGCTGCCTGGCCTCTACCTTGGTCCCTTGAGAAGTCTTGGCCTTTAGCTGGCCAAGCCGCTTAGGACATGAGACTTAGTGGCGGCCTGTAGGAAGCGGGGCTTCAAGATGCCTAGGTTCAAGAAGTGTTAACCCAAACTCAGCTGATTTGCTTAACGACAGAAGAGTCCCTAACCCTGAGTGTTAGGGACCAGTAGAAAAGTAGACCCTGAGCTTGGCAGCAGAGACCTCTGAGTAAAGGCAAGCACCTCATCCCTCATCCCAAGATCACCCGTCCATCCCAGCTCTTCTGCTACTTAATGCAGCCCAGGGCAGCCTGTGTGTAGTTAAGTGATGTACCATGAAGGGGGTGGTGGGGTTTTGAGTGACACAGCCTTATGCCTGGCACCAGAAGAACATGGAGCTCGAGCCAGGCCTTAGAGAAGGGAGGAAAGCAGGTTTAGGACAGGGTATCGAGAGGAAGGTGACAGCGGAGAAACAGGAACAGGCCCAGCATGGCTGGGGCTGAGGATTTTAAGGGGCTTAGGGAGAATAGCAGGAAGGGACGGAAGCAGGCATTTTGCTGCAGTGCAGGGAGGAATCAACGCCACTGACAGCTGTCAACAGGGAATCGGTGAAAAGCAGGAAGATCTCCCAGCAAGGCTGGACCAGACAGGGCAGGTGGGGAAGTGGAACAAAAGCAGTACACTCAGGAAACGTGTGGGAGGAAGGATTGTGGGGCCCTAGCAAAGAACTGAAGCTGGGGGGATAGGGGAGTGGCTTATGGTGGGGCAAGGGCCAGAGCACCCCTTTCTCATGGCAGGTCTTCGAAGCCGCCTTGGCCTGGGTCAGATATGACCGGGAGCAGAGGGGACCCTGCCTGCCTGAGCTGCTGTCCAACATCCGCCTGCCTCTCTGCAGCCCTCAGTTCCTGTCCGATCGAGTGCAGCAGGATGACCTGGTCCGCTGCTGCCACAAGTGCAGGTGAGTGAGGTGGATGCATGGCACAGTGCAGAAGGCCAAGGCAGTGGGCTCAGCCACTGTTTCCAGGTTGGGGGTGGTCAGCCCGCTCATGGCACAGGGATTGGGGATCCCACTCCAGACTGGGAGAGGAAGTGGTAAGAACCCAAGTCTTCCGCTGAGGGCAGAGAACAGTGCAGTGTGGGAGCGCTGGGGTTGAAGGTTGTTTCTCCCCTACGTTGAGGAAGACGTTCTGACATCTTTACCATGGAGCTGCTTGTGTGGACCAGCATCTGTCCTGTCTGCCCTGGTCCTGTCCACATTGGCCACTGACTCAGTGATGTGAACGGGTTGAACTCCTTGACCCCTCAGTAAAAACTTAAGTCAGGGCCCCTGTCTCTGGGGGAGGGAGGCACAGGCTTTGTGGAACAGGTAGGGCCAGTTCACCACCCTGGAACCCTTCTGCAGAGACTATCAGTGGGGACCCGGCACGGGCAAGCACCAACCCTGCTCAGTGTACAGTGCCCAGCAGGAAAACTGTGCCCAGGTTAAAGCAGCAGAGGTGAATGCCGATCCTCTACTGCTTGTCACCCTCACAACAGGAAAATTCTTTCTCCTCTCCCAGCATTGTGTTCACCCATCCAGCGCCCACCTTCTTTCCTCACCCTGGGCGGGAATCACCACCGGTGCAGGCAGTTGAGGAGCTCGTGGCCCTGTGGCCAGTGGTCCCAAGGGTGCCATTGGCAAGGGGTAGCTTTTGGGGGTCTTAAATAGCAGGGAAGTCGGGGAACAGTGGAGGAGAGGTGATGATTGCAGGGATTGTGCCCAGAGCCCTATGTGGGGGACATGTAGGTCGAAGTGATGACAGGAGCCCAGCCTCCCTGTGTCCATTCTATGCCAGATAGGAGACCTTTCTTGTTACACAGCGGAGTGGCCCTGCTCATCCTGCCTTTCCACTTTCCTGTCTCTTTAGCTGTACCATTTGGGTTCTCTGAGGCTAGTCCTTCTCTGGAAGGCCCTGCCAGGTTTTCCTTGCTGTTAGGGCTGGAGGAGCCTGGCTCACAAGTGCAGGTGTGAGCGGAGAGGAGAGGGCGCCTCCCACCTGTTATAACTCGGGCCCCGGTATAAAATCCAAGAAAGCAAGAGTCCGAAAATTTAGGTAGCAAAGGCTTTATTTCCAGGCCTGGCGACGAGTCTCCGGGAGCCAATTTGGAGACTGTCCCTCAGAGACTGAAGGGAGGACTTTAAAAAGAGGCAGGAGGAAAAGGGTGGGGGGAGAAACAAAGAAACCTGCAGAGCCATCAAACTTGTTGACCCGAGTCTGGAAACTGTATTGCTGTCCACTTAGCTCGGACAATCTCGGGAGTTCCTGGTGTTTCTCAAATTACTCCCATCCTACAGACTGACATTATCTCGGAGTGGCACATCTGCAGCAATATTTGGAGAAGAAAGTGGACAGTTAATTATCCCAGGACAGCTCGTTTTCGCTAGTGGGTGTGAAGGGGTCAAGAGTTACAAGAAGCTGAAACTTAAGTTTTACAAAGATCTGATATCTAACTCATTTGATGCATACAGAACAAAAGGAAAGCACCGATTGGGGTTTGGGCCATAGTATTTCCCGGTAATTTCTTTGAAGCTAACCAGTTCTTAAAATTGGGGCAGGCCCATTTTATGACAGATCATCACCGGGTCGGGAAGAGGTCACCAGAAATCCAAATTCTTTATGGCCTAGATAGATAGGTGAAGGGAGAGGGAGGCAATAAGGCGCCATACAGAACAGAAAACGGCGGTTATGTGTCAAGGTCAGGTAAAGGGTTAAACTCATACGCAAATCTCTCTGCACACAAGCAAGTTACTTTAAACAAGTGTAAATTAGTGGGCCATCCTAGTTTTCGTTAGCTCTTTAGCGGAGAATAGAGGCGCCTAACAGTGATTGATAACCCTTGTTAGCTTGTTTTAGCACAACTTCTGTAGTTTGTAGAGGGCAACAATGGTTAACATATCAATTAGGTGACATTCTTGCAATTCTTTACAGAGGAGAATATTGCTCAACATATCAATTAGGTCACTTAACATATCAGTTAGGGAAAAAGGATAAAAAAAACACATTTAGTAAGCCTCGTTGCAGGTTGGCTATAATACACAAAATAATGAAGGTATTTTCTTAGAGTACAACACCACCCTCATGTCCTGCACATCTTTCCAGGGATCTGGTGGATGAAGCAAAGGACTATCACCTCATGCCTGAGCGGCGGCCCCACCTCCCAGCCTTCAGAACCCGGCCTCGATGCTGCACGTCCATCGCTGGGCTGATCTACGCTGTGGGGGGCCTCAACTCAGCAGGTATCTTGCAACCCTAAACAGAGCCCTATCTGGGGTACCTTGGGGGTGTTTCGTTTTTGTTTGTTTATTTTGAGACAGGGTCTCACTATTCAGTTCAGGCTGGCCTTGAACTCATTGGGTAGCCTAGGCTGAATTTTAATTCATAGTCTGGTGGTCCCCTGCCTCAGCCTCCTGAGCGCTGAGATTACAGGTATCAACCCATGCCTGGCCTCATCTGGAGCACCTTGGATGCAGAAATGCAGTCAGAACTTGGGATTTAGTTCAGTGGCATAAGTGCCTGCCTGGCAAGTGTGAGGTTGTGAGTTCAATCCCTGGTACAAAGTAAAAAAGAAAAGAAAAGAAAAAAAGAAATGCAAAATGCATTTGACCTTGCCTATGCCTTCGGGGTCCAGAAGTTACCTCCCTCGCCCCTCTCACTCTGGTGTCATTGCTCTGCAGTCCCAGTCACATCCTTACACCATTAAACCCGAACATTAGTGCTCGGGAGGCCTTAGAAGCCCATGAAACCTCACCTCCTTACCTTGCAGCAGAGGAAACTGAGGCCCAGAGACGTTTCCATGTTCACATACCGCTTCGGGCAAACTGAGGGCTTGAACTCACTTCCTGCAGCGGCAGTCTTCCTGAATATGCTGCTAGCCCCTACATTCACTCAGCCTGGGGCTGGGTGCAGTAGGAGCTCCGGCTCTGCACTGAGGGCATTGTTTGCCTTTGGTACTTCCCAGCCTATGTGCTGCTAGCAGGTGTCCTGTGACCAGGTTTTCAGGAGCACCCCTGACCCACCCTTCTGGGGGCCTCGGTGGGCAGCCCTGGGCAGTTCTGTGTTTAATGGAAGGCTAGTGAGAGGTGGGTAGCAGGGTAGGGGTAAAATTACTCCTTGCTTCTGCCGTTCACCGAGCGTGTTCTAGAACCATGCCAGTCATTCATTCCTGCTGACAGCTCTGCCATAGGTGTCACAAATGAAGCAGGATGGGGACACAAAGCCCCGTGGCTCGGGTTCCTTGGTAGTAAGCCAAGCGTGGCACTGGGGCGCGTGCTCTCCTATTCGGGTGTGCCCCCTACAGTGGGGCCAGGCCTGACCGTAAAGTGAAACTACCCTTCCATCCCATTCTGTTTTCCCTTGAAGGAACCATGAAACCCTTAATGGGCCTTTGTGCCCCAGTCCTTCCAAGGAAAACTGATACATCCAGTCAGATGTTCCGTGTAACCCATGCCCACTAGCTACGATCTAAACAGCTGGTCTCATTTGTTTTAATTTGAGTAGCACATTTTTATGCAGGTGATTCCCTGAATGTGGTGGAAGTGTTCGACCCCATTGCCAACCGCTGGGCAAAGTGCCATCCCATGACGACAGCCCGCAGCCGGGTGGGCGTGGCCGTGGTGAACGGGCTGCTCTATGCCATTGGTGGCTATGACGGCCAGCGGCGGCTGAGCACGGTGGAGGCTTACAACCCGGAGACAGATACGTGGACCCGAGTAGGCAGCATGAACAGCAAGAGAAGGTATTCTGGAGGCTACGCGCAGACCAGCCACACACACACACAGTGCCAGGGAGAGCCGTGCCCACCAGGCTGGCAACATAGTAAAGCTAGACATGAGCCTCAGTCTGGGAAGGTGCTATGGCCAGGCCAAGCTCTGCCAGTATCGGCCTGAATGTGCAAGGCTGCCTTGTCCCTGGAGTGGCGCAGGGAGACAGACGTAGGCATGTAGGAGCTGTCCTTTACTGTGCATCTCAGCAGCTTTGAGGAGGGGGAGAAACTGGAGAAACATCTGGAGGATTTCAGGGAAGAGGGAGGATTAAAGTAGAAACCCAAAGAGTAAGGAGGATTTAACTTCACTAGCGGTAAAAGGAAGTGCGGGATAGCTTTCCAGCCCAGCCTTGACTTAGAGAGGCTGTCTCCAAGTAAAAATAAAAAGGCCTGGGGATGAAGCTCAGCAATCCTGGGAGCACTTTGGAAGGCTCTGGACCAGTCACTGTACAGCGGCCTTTGTGCTCTGTGGTCTCAGTGTTTGGCTTACAATCCCCAGGGTCCCTGCTCGTGTGACCACATGCTGGGAAAGACCAGGAGATCTAGTGATGATGCGTGTGGGGTGGAAGCAGAGCTGGTGGGAAAGTCCTTCCCACAAGTATGTAGCTCCATGTGCAGCAGTGCGAGTGTGTGGCATGAGCCAGGAGGGATCAGCCTGCATAGTGAGACATCCAGATCCTCAGAGGATCCAAGTAGGTCCATTTGGAGACCGAACGACCTGAGTTCCTCCCAAGGCTCCTCTCAAGGCTGCTCTTCCAGTCTCCCTCCCACTTTTTGCCTCCCCTTGGGCCCTTTGCAGCTGTCTGTGGCTGAGGATGCATTGCCCCATGTCCCCACCACAAGCCTTTTTTGCTCCAAGCTGTGCCCTTCCTCATGTGAGTCTCTGGGCCAGGTCCTTGTTGGACATGAGTGAATCTGGGTGTTCCTTCTCTGCACCATGGTCAGTGCACTGATTTTAGCAACACAGACCCAGTTCTGTTGTGTCCCCTTTAAATTATAGGTCACCTTAAGAGGTTCTTAGTTGGGGCTGGGGATTTAGCTCAGCGGCATAAGCACCTGCCTTGCAAGCAGGCAGTCATGAGTTCAATCCCTGGTACCGATAAAAATGAAAAAGACCAAAAAAAAAAAAAAAGAGGTTCTTAGTTGCCCTCTCCTAACTCCCACACAACTCTTAGTCCTGTCCCCAAGCAACCCATTTCTGCTCTTTCCTCCTTCTCTCCTCCCATCTTCTAGGCCACCTCCTTGCAGCTGTCTGGGCCCGCAAACTCCAGTCCATGCCGCTTGGTGCTCTGCATTCCCTCTGCACATACCAGTCTCCTGCACGCTGTGTACCTCTGAGCTCTATCCCCAGCCCCACCTGGGCCTTCCCTCGAAGGGTGTCAGCTGTCCATGCGTCCGTCACATTCCCGCAGGCCCAGTCCCTCCCCACTTTTAGGCTGGCTAGTGGGTCTCAGAAAGGTATGGGGCACGGATCTGTTTGACGAGCTATGTGCACTGGAAAGGTGCAGTCTGCAGGTGTGCTCTGGTTCCCTGCTGGTGAGACAGCCAGGCGGACTTTTAGTCTTCTCCAGCACCAGATTTTCCCACAGTGAATCAAGCAGCTTAGCCCTGGTGTGTGGTTTCTGCTAAGGCTTTGTTGAGAATAGAGGATCCTATGTTTACCCCAGGTCCCCAGGTCTGTGATCACTGTGGAGTTCACACAGGCAGAGTTGAGGTCTTCCAGGAGACTCCCTTTTGTTAAGGGGTGGCAGCTCCCTGGTACCCCACAGGACTAGAACATAAGTGCCATGCCTGGGTAGTGTAGGCCCTGTGAGTGGCAACTGAAAATCCAGTGAGTAGATGATGTGACCAGTGGTGTTCCCCAGCAGCCACTCTGGGAGTATGGAGTCGAGACAGTCCTGCTGAGGGGTCAGGGAGGAGGAGGGGAGAGAGGAATTCAACCTGGGCCTCAAAGGTAAACTAAACTCTCAGAATGGGGGCTGAGGAGGGACTCAGCTAGGCTGAGCGGCTTCTCCGCCTCCACGTGCACTTTACCAAGTCCCGTGCCTGAGGTTTGATTCTGTTCTGGAGGAGCCAGCTGATCCACTCATCCCTTAGAGAGGGCTGCCCAGGAGGTCGGAGGCCCTTGTGGGATGACAGCTCTGTCTGTTTCAGCGCCATGGGGACTGTTGTGCTGGATGGGCAGATCTACGTCTGTGGGGGCTATGATGGCAACTCCTCCCTCAACTCCGTGGAGACCTACTCGCCCGAGACAGACAAGTAAGGACTCTGATTCTGGGACCAAGCTCATACCGAGCACTGCCATGTTAGAGCCGCGGGTTCTTCCAAGGGCAGAGAATGTCTGCTTTCTTGTCTCTTCTGGTACTTTATACATAAATAATAGGTATTTACTAACCCTGGGTTACATGAATTACTAAGTGCATTTTAAAAACAAATGTCTATGTCAGGTGTGGTGGTTCATGCCTGTAATCCTAGCACTTGGGAGGCTGAGGCAGGAGGATCACAAGTTCAAGGCCAGCCTGGGCTACTTTGTCTCAAAAAACAAAAATAACAAATCCAATGTCTGCATAGGAATTTGAAAAGATTTGGTTAATGGTCTGTACCTTTTATATGAATCAACTCATTTTCGTGGAAATGCAGGCAAAAGGGGACAAGAAGTAGATAAACAGCACATTCCCACGCTGGTGGGACATGATTTGAAAAAAGAGAAGGGGCTGGGGATTTAGCTCAGTGACATAAGCACCTGCCTTGCAAGCAGGTGGTCGTGACTTTGATCCCCGGTACCGAGAAAAAGAAAAAGAAAAAAATTGAAAAAAAGAAAAAAGAGAGAAACATGGGAAGTTTTATTGTCCACCTTTCTATATCGAGTGCTAACTTTGCAGAGGCTCCAGGAAGCTCTGCTGTAAGAACCCTGCTTAACCCTGCGTTGTGGGGACACCTGTCCCATGACGAGGGTGGTTTTGTAGGATGCTCCTTTTGGAAAGTCCTGCTAAGGTTGGTCTGGAGTTTTCATTTTTTCATTTGATCCTCATCTTACGCAACAGAAAAGAAGAAACAAAGCTGAGTGGGTGCTCACAGTGCTCTTGAGCCAATATAGGACATGGTGGGCAGCAAGCTTGGTGTCGGGGACTGTCTGGGTGACACCCAGGGTGGTGGGGCCAGTGGTGCTGGGTGGTCACCCTAGCCCAGGGGCCTAGGCCTTGAGTTCTTGGCCCGGAGTGGAGAGTCCCTCCTCTTCTCGGGGCTTGGGTGCAGGGGCAGGGAGGCAGGGCTGTCTTCCGAGGTGAAACCCGCCATGGAGACAGCGGGGAGAGGGGCTCGTGCCGGGGACAGTGCTAGGTCTGCTGGGCTGGAGCACAGAGTGTGGGAGAAGCAGCAGTGGGGTACTGCGCAGTACAGGGAAGACCACTGAGGACCACAGGGTAAGCAGCTCACTGAAGGATTGGGTCCTTGATGGCATGGGCCAGGGTGGCAGTGGTGGGACAGTCAGCCTGGCTGCAAGCAGGTGGTGTGTGATCTTGGGTGAGGTCAGAGGGCATTGTTGTGGGGAAAAGATCTAGTCGTGACTGGGGCAAACCATTTGAGACTTAGGGACCATAAGAACATAGAGAATTGGGAGAAGCAGCTACAAGACCAGGAAGTGCAGGCAGGAGTGGCCACACCGGAGAGCAGCCCTGTTTGAGAGGTGCCAGCCAAGTGCCCACGGAGACAGGCAGAGAAGTGGGCTGAGGCAGGAAGGTGCCCAGAGCACAAGGACCAAGGCATAGCCCACCACGCCCTACTCTGCCGTCTCAAGGACAGAGAGACTGATGGCCAGCCCCTTTCCCATGTTGACTCATTCCCAAAGGTGGACAGTGGTGACCCCAATGAGTGCGAACCGCAGTGCCGCTGGCGTCACAATCTTCGAGGGCAGGATCTACGTGTCGGGCGGCCATGACGGCCTGCAGATCTTCAGCAGCGTAAGTGCGGGCAGAGGGCAGCGTGCTGCCCAGGGAGGTGGCGTCTGCGCACCATCCTCTGCAGTTTCGAGCTTCTGCGAGAGACAGGGTCATCCACCCACCCCACTCTATGGCCCCAAAATCCCTGTCCATTCTAAGCTGCGGGGTCAGTGTTCACACTGTCGTGTTCTTCTGGATACTGTTTTTGTTTTTGTTTTTATTTCTGTATCAGGGATCAAACTTACAACCTCAAGCTTGCTGCTGAGCTATATCCCTGGCCATGGACACTGTTTTTTGAAATTGCATTTTTGTTTGTTTGGGGTTTTTTTCTTTTCTTTTTTAATCTTGAGAGACTCCCTGTGTAACTCAGGCTGGCCTTGAACTCAGTGATCCTCCTGCCTCAGCCTCCAGAGTGCTGGGATTATCGATGGAATTCCACACTGGATGAAACTGCACTTTTAGGGGTTATTTGCATTTTATTTGTTGAGGGCCATGTAGTAGTGGTCCCACAGTCAGTGCTGTGGGGCAAGCAGTACGGACAGAAACCACACTCCAGCCCCGTTCTTCTGTGCCCTAGCAGTGCCTCCTGGGTAACCCCTCATCTGTTTCCTTGACACACATAGAAGGGGTCAGCCTGGGACCCCCAAGGCATCAGAGCTGCATGCACGCTGCCAGAGCTCCTTACCCCAGGCCTCCTCCATCTGACACCTGTGAGCCCCATGCCGTGCCCTGCGGGGTCCTTGGGGCCAGGCTGTGACTCTGACGTCTACACCCATACCTCTCCTACTGCAGGTGGAACACTACAACCACCACACGGCCACCTGGCACCCAGCCGCCGGGCTGCTCAACAAGCGCTGCCGGCACGGCGCTGCCTCTCTGGGCAGCAGGATGTTCGTGTGCGGGGGCTACGATGGCTCCGGCTTTCTGAGCATCGCCGAGGCGTACAGCTCCGTGGCGGACCAATGGTGCCTCATCGTCCCCATGCACACTCGTCGCAGCCGGGTTTCCCTTGTGGCCAGCTGTGGCCGCCTCTATGCGGTGGGTGGCTATGACGGACAGTCAAACCTGAGCTCTGTGGAGATGTATGATCCTGAGACGGACCACTGGACGTTCATGGCCCCCATGGCGTGCCATGAGGGCGGGGTGGGCGTGGGCTGCATCCCTCTCCTCACCATCTAAGGCTCAGGATGGGACGAAGCGGGGTAGGGATCTGGTACACACCTGGGTGCTTCCATCCGGGCCAAGCCCTCCTGGGAGAGGTGGGGGACCAGGACCAGAAGACGGGGTGACACGCGAGCTTGCCAGAGGGATGGCTGCTCCAGGTGCTGACATCCTCCTCCCTGTGCTGCCCTTGTGACCTGAGATCATCAAGGTACACAGCCTGAGACAGAAGCCCCTCGGGGCCCACAGCAGTGACACAGACACAGGCTCTGGCAGAGCCAGCTCCCGCTCACTGCAGCACCAGGGACCACCGAGGTGCAGCCGTCTGCCATAGGGAGGCTGGAGGGGTGCGTCGTGTGGGGCACCGCAGGGTGCAGTTGGAGAGATGGGGTGCGCCCTGAGTATCTGCCTGCCTGTGAAGATGTGGCCACCACAGCAGCAGCTGCCACCAGGGGGCACAGAAGAAAGGTTCTGTCCTCACCTCTTGGGTAAGCAGGGAGGACCCTGGTCTTCCCTTGTCTAATTTTGGGATTTCAGTAAGGTCTTTCCATCTTGTCCAGGAGAAACAGAAGGGAAAAGAGATACTTGAAAGAACCCGAAGGAATAAAACACTTGAAAGAAACTGGAAAGAAAAATATTTTAAGTGAATTTTTTTTTCCAGGCAGAAAACATAAAGGACACTAAAAGCAAATACGTGTTTCAGTGACAAAGCCATCAGACATGGGACGGCCGTGTCCACTCCTACATCTGAGTCCCAGGGTCCCAGGGCCTCAAGAAGCATGGGGTCCCCTCTAAGCCCCTCGTGCCCGGCCCTGCAGCCAGGTGCTCTTGGTTTGTCTCCACACCCACCATTGGAGGACCTTCCGAGCCAGAGGCTGGGCGAGTCGGCTGAGTTACTGCCTCTCCTAGGTGGGAGCTCTGGGCGCCCCCGGGACCCCTCCCACTGCCACCACACACACGCTTAGCCTCCACCCCTGCCTCCATTCCTTCCCTTTGGGACCAGCGGGAAACAGCACATCTGGCCAGACCTGCACCTACGGGCCATCACTCCTGGACACTGCCCTTCATTGTGATGCCCCTAGACACCGTACCCCTTTGTTCTTCTGGAACCCACCTGGAAGTTTGCTCCTCCCACAGTCTGGGTAAGGCCACCCTTGCCTACCCTACCATCCACTGCTCCTCGTCCATGCGCCACCTCCAAGGGTCTGACCTCCCCCCAGCCCTTGGCTGCCCGACCAGCAAAGTGAACCTTTCCTTCCAAACGAATCTGTTGTTAGGGTCCAAAGAACTGAAGGCCGAAAGAATCCTTTGCTGCTGCAAAGAACGGATTTTATTTCTTCCTCTAATCTCAGCAAATGACCTCATGAAGAGACTCCATGTTCCTCCCTCCTCCCTGGATGGGACCTGCCTGTCACACTGCAGGACATGAGGAGGACATTTTGTTACCATTGCACTGGGCAGTGGAGCTGTCCTTCAACTGCTGCCAAAATCTGCTTTTATAAATTCTTCCAGTAGAGACTCAGAGAGTACTCAATTCCTTTTTGCCCAAGACCGAGCCTTAGGGTTCCCCTTGCCGCCCAGTTGGTTTCCATGCTTTGCTGCCTGCCTGCACTGTGCACTGGACCAGCCGGGAGCCTGTTTGGAAAGGTATAGGGCAGCAGTGCCCCCCTCCCCAGGACCACTAGATTCACCAGTATCCAAGCCCGGTGGCTGTGGAGCCCGAGGGAAGGACCCTTGTTACAGCTTAGCAACTGGGCCTCTTACAAGCTCTTGGAAATGATGCTTTCATTTTAAGGCTCAGCAGCTTCCGAGCTGAGAATTGAACCCAGCTGGCTCTCAGTTTGCTTCCAGGGGTGGACTCAGAGGAAGGGGACCCATTTCCTGCCTGGAGGAGCCAGCAGCACCCACTCCCTCACTGGGAGCCCCTCACTTCCCTTGCAACTCTTGAAGACCAGCAGTGGGCACCCGAGCAAGCTGGCCTTACAGGTCTTTGGGCACTGGCCCTCTCAACACTGAGGACCATGCGGTGCTTTTCCCATGTGTTCCTAGGGTGGCCTCCCTGGGCCTACCACCCGCTGGAGAGGCTGAAGAGGATGCACTGTGCCTGAGACCAGTGTCTTTTTCCAAGGACGAAGCCGGAACTCTGATTTGGGCTCTGCGCACAGTTTCTTGAACCAACCCAGAAGCAGAATCAGAGCGCCCCGGCTGGTCCTGGACAGCTGCGCGCAGTGACCACTCAGCCACCTTAGATAGGATTGGAGACCATGGGCAGGATGCGGCCCAGTGCCCAGGGACATCGTGCTCTGTGGCCTCAGGTGCAGCCCAGCTTGAGCAGAGGACACCAGTGCTCACTGTTCTTGTCACTTTGCCCCTTTGGATGACACAGCTTTCTCTTCTGAGGTCACCTGACATCACAGCCAGAGAGAGCTGAAGACTAGCCCTGTAACCCCGAGATGTGACTAAGTCAGAAACCCCCCCCCCATTTATTGTTTCACAGAAAATCCTTTATTTATAGAATGCATGTCATTTGTTTAAGAAACCAAAGAGAAGAAAATAAAGAGAACACTCCTAATAGATTTTGTCCCTTTCTGATTTTTTTTTTTTTCTTTTTCTCTTTTTGAGACAGGGTCTCACTGTGTAGCATAGGCTGACCTCAAACTCATGGTGATCCTTCTGCCTCAGGCTCCCGAGAGCTGGTATTAAAGGCATGCACCACCACACCCTGCCCTGTCTGATATTTGAAAATTAGAAGCAAATGGTTTTTACTGTGATTCAGTGTGAAAATATATTGGACAAGCCAGCTGTGGTGGTGCACGCCTATAATCCTGGCACACTAGGAGACTGAAGCAGGAGGACCTTGTATTTGAGCCCACCCTGGGCAATTTAGCCATTTAGTGAGACTCTGTGTCACAATTTTAAAAGGGGTGGGAATGTGGTTCAGTGCAAAGGCCTTGGATTCAATAGCCAGTACCACCCACTTATAGATTCATGAATACAAATATACATGGCAAGGAGGAACATCCCTGCAAAAACAGAAAAATCAGACGTCATACATCAAAAGCCCAGGAGCTGTGAGCTGGGCCCCGGGGTCCCGAATCTGACACCAGACCCTGGAACAGGTAAACCTCAGGTCCTGCTTTGTCACTGACACACACTTTGCTTGGTGTTTCAGGCCCTGAGAGTCTGGTCATTTTGTCATTTTAAATTCTCCGCGTGGCACATACAGGACAGGATAGGCTCCACTCATGACCAGGGTTTGCTAAAGCCGACCCCACTCCCCTCTGCTCCTTTGCATCAGACTTTCTGCTGTTTCTACTGCCTGTGTTGAAGGCCTGCACAGCGACCCTGGTCAGCACAGTGCGCGATTTCAATCTCCACTGTATTAACACAGAACATCTGCCTGTGCCTGTCACCCACCCTAAAAGGTTTTGTCTGTTTCCCTCACACCTGTTTCCCCAGTGCTAGAGATTGAACCCAGGGCCTTGGTTGTGAGCTGTATTCCCAGCCATTTTATTTTATTTTATTTCTTGAGACGGTCTCACTAAGTCTCTGAGTTGCCCAGGTAATCTTCCTGCCTCAGCCTCTTGAGGGTACCTGAGGTGCACCTGGCTGGAATTTCATGATTTAAAAGCTTGCTGCTCAGAGTGTGGTCCCTGAACCAGTGGTGGTGGCAGCTCTGGCAGCGGAGCCACATGGCTGATCCTGCACCCCATGTGATGTGCTGACCAACACGGTGGATGAGCTAGCTTCCTGAGAGAGGTCCCTCAGCCATCCCCAAGCTGTCCAACCTGGAAAGCTGAGCCTGGTGACCCCAGAAGACCTGGGTGAGTGTAGAGCAGCCTCTCTGAGTAGCTGGCTCAGGTGAGGAGCGATAGGGTGTGGCATGGATGAGATGGGGGCACCTCCTGCCGTGGGGGAGAAGAGTTGAGGGTCTCCGCGCACCCTGCTCGCACACAGAACAACTTTCCTTCCTCTCACCCAGCTCTGGGTGCCCCAGGCCTTGAGTGCAATGGGACCTGGAGTTGGAACCAATTTGCTTGACACTTGGTTTTGTCACTAAAAGCTGTAGATGGAGCGTGCAGAGCTGAGGGACTGCAGGAAGTGATGCTGGGATAAGGGCATGATCCTCACCAGTGGACAGAGCCTTCCTCCCCACGCCCACACCAAAGAGCCCATTTTTGCTTGGTTATTTCCCTGGCCAGGATTGGATTGGGCTGGGGACACATCAAAGACCTGGCCCAGAGCTTGTTGGGGGCCAGATGTGGGGAGTGAAGAGGGTGAGGATGGCACCCAAGTATTGGGGTAGATGAAGGTACTGGGCTGATGCAGCTGGGCAGCAGGAAGAGGCTGGACATGGAACACGCTTTGGTGTTTTTTTTGTTTTTTGCCACCAGGAATCAAACTCAAGTCCTGCACTTGCCAGGCAGGCGCTGTGCCACTGAGCTACATCCCTGGCCCCACACTTCAGTTGTCCACAGGGAGGCATCCCAGAGGCACAGGGTCCCAAGGTGGGGTTCCCTGTGATAAAGCTGGGGCAGGAGGGAACTAAAGACAGTTGAGGAGGCTAAGACAGGCCATGCCACCACTTTGGGCTCCCTGCGTGTCCTCAGCTCCCTTTCACAGTTCCTGTCCTGATCTCGGGATCTCCCCACCACTACTCAGGCCCTGCCTCATTAGTCACCTCGCCCCACATTCAGCCCCCAGTGCTCGGGCCACACACTTGGTCATTTACTGCAGGAGCATTTTATTGAACCCTCTCTGTGCTGCTTGAAGTTTCTGGACATGCGAAGGCGAGTTTGGCTGTCGGCCTGGGCAGAGGGGCTCGAGGGCTTACACAAAAGGAACTTCCCTCCTAGGGCACAGCTGCAGCTGGCAGAGCCACTGAATGGATGCTGGCTGGGGACACAGCAATGACACCATGTGGTGTGAGGGCCAAGTGAGCAAACCAGGAAGGATGCCTCTGCTCTGCAAAGCAGGGGCCTTCCTGGAGGAGGTGACTTCCCCACTGAGCCTTGTGGGAGAAACTGGATTTACAGATACCAGAAGGGCAGGCAGACCAGGTAGAGGTAGAAGATGTACAAAGAGGGGCTTAAGTTTGGGGTCACTAGTCTCTGGGCAGTGTAGGAAGGAGGTACTGCAGCCCAGCGCCGGACACAGGCTCCTCTCCCTTCTGGCCCTAGAAGTTGATCAGGATTTTGCTCAGGATGTTGAGGATGATATTTTACTTGGCCTTCCCATGCAGGTCCCTGACAGTGGGCAGCACTGTGGCTTTGGCCTCATGGAGCTATTTCTCCTGGCCCTCTGCGACCTCTGAGGCCTCAGCTTCCTCCGGGGCCTCTGCAACCTCAGAGGCCTCAGCTTCCTCCGGGGCCTCCGCAACCTCAGAGGCCTCAGCTTCCTCCGGGGCCTCCACAGCCTCAGAGGCCTCAGCTTTCTCCGGAGCCTCCGCAACCTCGGTTTGGTCTGGCTGTTCCAAGAAGCGTCCCTGTAGGGCCAGGCTGGGTGGTCAGGTCCCTTCCAGGGCCACTGTCCCTCCTGTCCCCTCCTCCTGACCACATGCCATTTCCCACTGGCTGCCCTGCAGGTGGGACACAGGAAGGGGACCTGGGACTCACCTGGTCCCGGCGCCCACAGTCTCGGTCACAACTGATAGTCAGGCTCCGCCGTAGCCGTACCTTGGAAAACAGGCCAGTGCAAATGCGCTCCTCCTGTGGGGACAGGAACAGGAGCTGGGTGCAGCAGCCACCCACGGCTCCAGCCCGGCCTCAGAGCCAAGGTGCAAGCCAGAGCCCGGAGCAGAATAAAGCAAAAATATGTTTTCTGGTTTGGGGGAGGGGGACCCTGGGGTTTAAACCCAGGATACTGAGCTATGCTCCCTGCCCAATAAGGGCATTTACTGTAGGATAACCAATAAGGTTATTCTTTTGTTTTGTTTTTGGTACCAGGGATCCAACTCATGACCTTGGGCTTGTAAGGTAGGTGCTTATGCCACTGAGCTAAATCCCCAGCCCCTTTCTAAGTGTTTTGTTTTCATTGCTGGAGATGGAACACAGGGCCTCAAATTTGCTAGGCAAGCACTAAACCACTGAGCTCACCCACAGCTTTTTTTTTTGGCTTTTTGTCTTTTTTGAGATGGGGTCTTGCTGTGCAGTTCAGGCTGGTCTTGAGCTCACTTTGTAGCATAGGCTGGTCTCGAACTCTCAATGATCCTCCCACCTCACCCTCCCCAGTGCTGGGATTACAGGCGTGAGCCACCATTTCCTGCTCAGCTTTTCTTTTTTTAAGACTGAGTCTGGCTATATTACTGAAACTGGGCTTGAAGTTTTGGATCCTTCTGCTTCAGCCTCCCAAATAGTTGGGATTACGGACATATGCTTTACTGATTTTTTTTTTTTTCTTTCTTTCTTTCTTTTTTTTTTGTCTTTTTGAGACAGGGTCTCTCTATGCAGTTCAAGCTGACCTTGAGCTCACTTTGTAGCCCAGGCTGGTCTCGAACTCACAATGATCCTCCTGCCTCAGCCTCCGAGTGCTGGGATTATAGGCATGAGCTACCATGCCTTTACTTGCTTTACTGATTTTTAAAAAAACACTGATCTTCCTAGGTGAATTATGGTCACATGTTTTAGTTTTTGTTTTCTTTACAGTATAAGAAAAGCAGCTAGAGGTATTGGATTGACCTGAGCTATCGAAGTCTCTCCAGATGGTAATTTTTAAAGTGTGTTGCTTTTATAATAAAGGTTTATGATAATTTATAAAAAGAAAAAAGGAATAAGAAAGGTTTGATTTTGCAAAAAGGCTTTCTTTCGGGGCTGGGGATTTAGCTCAGCGGCAAAAGCACCTGCCTTGGAAGCAGGTGGTCCTGAGTTTGATCCCAGTACCAATTAAAACAAAATTGGAAAAAAAAAAAAAAAGGCTTTCTTTCACATTCAGACCTCTGGCGAGGTGGCCCAGTGACAGGGCCCGTTGTGGCCTTGGGGCTAACTTACCCCACCCTCCTGGAAGGCGCAGCTTTCGGACTGTTGCAGTCTCTCCCAGGTGGAGATGCACACCGTCTGTCTAATCCTGAAGTTCAGCGGGACCCTGGCGGTAGAGTTCTAGAGAAGGACGTGACAGGAAGCTTGTGACCACCTCCCTCTCAGAGCCATGGCAGGAGCTGCAGGAGCTGGGGGAACCCTGTTGGCAGGGGCTTGGGCCCCACCAGGACCGGAGGCTCCTTTGGGTGCCTCTGTGGACAGGAGGTGCTTGGTTTTCAGAAAGAAGCCAAACCCTGCAGGCTTGCCCTTTCTGCCTTGGCCCCTCTGCAGCCTCACTTTGAAAGGAAGACTCTCTCCCCGAATGCTCCACTGCCCAGAGAGCGGGGCTGGGGGACAGGAGAGTCTGGGAACCCCGAAGGTGTAGTGGGACCAGGCCTGTTCCTTCCTGTCCCTGGAGCAACTCTCATAGTCCCTCAAGCCCAGGGCCTGACAGAGGCTGGAGCCCCATATTTGAATGAAGCCCCTTATTTCTCAGCCGAGCAGCTGTAGGCTGCAATTACAATCTTCAAGTGGAAAAAAATCTTTATTTTTTTGTTTTATTTTGAGACAGAGTCTCTCTATATATAGTTCAGGCTGGCCTTCAACTCCCTATATAACTCAGCCTGGTCTGCAACTCATGATACTCCTCCTGCCTCAGCCTTCCAGGTACTGAGATGACAGGTGTGTGCCACCACACCTGACTAAGAAACACTATTATAACAGTGGCTGATGTTACCAGTCACAGTGCCAGGCTCTCTCCTGCCCATCACCCACAGGTGCAGGGCTGGTGGCACCAGCTTCCCCACTGCCTGGTTCTGAGCCTGAGCCCCAGACACTCACCAACCTAAAAGGCAGGGTAGCTTCCACCAGGCGGAAGAGGGGCCTCCCCCGCTGCGCATCATTGTAGACCCTCAAGGCCTCAGTGATGATGTCCTCATAGCGCAGCCAGGGCTGGGTACGGCGCGCGCAGTACACCCCTGCCAAGGCCAACGTGAGGAGGAGTAACTTCCAGGCATCTGCCATGGTGCCCACTCTGACCCGCTGCTCACGCGGCCCCTTTTAGACTCCTCAGCTCACCTTGCCCAAGAGCGGCTGGCAACATGAAGGCTGGTGCCTTCCTGAAACAGGGCTGCTGCTTTGCGCAGCCGGGGAGCGAGGTTGGTCAATATTGCAAAATGCCATTGGCCAAGAAGCTTGGGTAACAGCCCAAGGCCCTGACTTGGGCCAAAACATCTGTGTACCCCTTCACACCAGACCCATGTCACCACCTGGAGGACTGTCCTGCTCTCCTAGGACTCCTCGTGTCTCGAAGTCTGGCTGTTCTGCCCGGAATCCGCAGCCTTAGAGAAGGACGGTTCCATGGCCAAGAGAGGATCCAATCCCAGGCTGTGCTCAGGCACCGAAAAGGAAAAAAAAAAAATTGGAAGCCAGGTGTGGCAATGCAGACCCACAGCCCAGCTCCCAGGAGGCCGAGGCAGAGTTTAGCTGAACTAGAGAACAAGACCCTCTCTCAAAATGCAAAACAAAATATTGGTTGCCAACCTTCAAAAATCTGGGGACCCAAACTTTGAAAAATCAAGATCTGACCATCCTGGCCACCTCAGCTGTGCAGTTGGTGGCCCCTTGGTGCCAGTCTGCTCTGGCCACTCCCTGCAGGAAGGCTCAGCATGGAAGGGGAACACAAGGGCCTCTGCCCCACTGAAGACGCCCACTTTCCTGGGCTCCTTTGCTAGTGAGCCTCAGCCCTTCTCTTCCTAACCAGCCCTGGGCCGAGGGGCTTTGGCTGTCCTAAAGGAGACTCAGAGACTAGGGAAGACAGCAACTGTCAGCCCCCCGGAAGCCTGCCAGTGGGGAAACTGAGGCACAGAGCGACTCATGATGCTTTCTCCCAAAAGCTAAGGGTGGAGGTGAGAGAGTCGGAGCTGGAAGTTAGGGGTGGGGACCAAGTCCAGTACCAGTCTCCATAGACAGAATGGGTCCTTGAGGACCCACATCTCATCTTCGAGTCCACAGACGCCTGATGCATAGTGGTGGCAGATTAGAATCAACCTAAATACACAACAGAAGCCAGTGTGTGGTGCACGCCTGTGATCCTGGCACTCAGGAGGCTGAGGCAGGAGGGTCACTGTGAGTTTGAGGCCATCCTATGATACACTGTGAGTTTAAGGCCATCCTGGAATATACAGAAGACCCTATCTCAAACCCCAGAAAGTGACTGTTAGTGCAGGTGTGTGTTCCCAGAATACAGGTCCTGCTTGTGGGAGCACAGAAGCTTTCTTCACAGTGATTGCATTCCTCCTAGATGGAGGAGCAAGGGTTCCGTGCAGCAGGTCTAATGGGAGCCTGGCTGGCAGGTTGCCTGACAGATGCAGTCTGTGCTGGTGCATGAGCCAGGCTTCTCACTCTGGAGCCGCAGGGGTGCTCGGGACAGCAGGATCTGTGTCTGTGTCTGTGTCCAGGGTCCATCATGGGATGTGAGCCAAGGAAGATGGGGCACACACCATGGAACTCTATGGACAGTGAAGCATTGGTTCCCGATGGGTCAATCCTGCCCCCCATTCCCAGGACAATTGTCAGTATCTGGGGACATTTCTAATTGTTCAATCATCATAACATAGAAGGTACTTTTGGCATGGAGTAGACAGAGGCCAGGAATGTTACTAAATATCCTCCCCAGGCAGAGAACATCACCTCAGAGCAAAGAACCCGCCCAGCCCCAAATGCAACAGTGCTTGCTCTAAAATAGAGCAAGAGACAAGGTGAACATAGAGAACAGGGTGGATCTATCCTTCAAGCCAGTTTGTGTGCGCTTCTTTGTGGCTTCCAGTACAGAGATGCAATGCAGGCAGGACGCAGGCCATCACTGGAGAAGGGGAGGGAGCAGCCCTCCTATCAAACCCTAAGTCCAGAGGTTTGAGGATGGAAGGCAGCAGTTGGTCCTGAGAGCCCTGTGGGAAGCAGAAGTATCATCTCACTGGCATTTATCTATTTGGGGCAAGTGGACTTTACAGATTAAGAGTTCAAATGATCAGGCTGGGGATTTAGCTCAGCAGCATAAGTGCCTGCCTTGTAAAGCAGGCAGTGGTGAGTTCGATCCCCGGTACCAATAAAAAGGAAAAAGACAAAAAAAAAAGTTCAAATGATCAAACTCTGAGCTCCATAAACGTATCTCCATACCTTGTCCCTTACTGTGGACCGAGGGCTAGAGCTGTGTGAGTCCTGCCTCTGCTTCAGAGTCACATAGACCTGGGTTCAAATCCCATCTCTGTCACTTCCCCAGTGCCTTATTTTCTCTGGAGTTCAGTTTTCTCGCCTGCAAAGGAGTAAGAAAGCTAAAGTGGAGAGGGGACTCTGGGCCAGCTTTTGAAGCAGAGGGAGCCACGGGTGTGGTGGCTTTACTGCGGCCACAGCCAAGACCCACAGCAGACATGTGGGGTGCCAACCTCAGCCAGAAAAGGATGAGGGGACCTCAACTAACCAGAAACACAGACCCTGGGCAGTTAAGACCATGCCCAGCTACCACGCTGGTAAGTAGAGGTCTGGGATTCCAGCCCCAGTTGGTGGTGTTCACTTTGCGGCTCTGCCTACAGAGGAGAGCCTGGGGCTGCTAGGAGCCAAGCTGCAGCTGTTGAGGACAGGGCCCCAGTATCCAGCAGGAAGTGTCCTGTAGACCCAACCAGAGTGCAGCTTCACCCTGGGGCTTGGAGTTGGGATGGCAACCGAAGTGGGCAGAGGTAAGGAGCACCCAGGGAAAAGTCCTGTTCCTCCAGGAGGTGGGAAATCCCACTCGGGCTGCAGTCCCACCCCGCAAGCACTGGTTCCCATCTAGTGCACACAGCTAGTGTGACAGGTCACCTGTGTCTCTTTCCCAGTGTCCCTGCAGCTTCTACCCCTCCCTGGAAAAGATGGGTGTTGTGGTGCATGCCTGTAACCCTATTACTTGGGAGGCTGAGGAAAGAGGATCACTGTGAGTTTGAAGCCCACCTGGGTTACATCATGGGACCCTGTCTTTAAAGAAAAAAAAAATGGCCAGAGCAAAGATTTTCATAAGGGCTGGAGAATTGTGCGGCAAAACACATCCCACTGTGGTTGGGCTTCCTATTGCAGAATGGGGTGGTCAGGAGGTGGACACAGATTTCAGAACCCTTGCCCAAGTGGCTGTGCCAAGTCCGGATGGGGAAAGCTCCCGTGACCACACACAGGTCCCATGGGGACACACACCTGAAGTTCCTAAACCAGTACCGGGGACATGGTTGTGCCACACCCTGCAGGGCGCAGTGGGTGGAGGTACACTGCCCAGCCTGGGGCGTCTCCCTGCAAGGGCCAGGCTGTCCTAAAGCTCCACATTTGCCAGTCCTGGCGGGTGTGCCTGGTGGGGGAGTCCTGAAGGCCTTCAACCTGGGGGCCCTCCCTACCAATGGCCTGAACTTGGGGGGTTTGTCCTAGGCAGGCACCTTCTTTTTTTTTTGTCTTTTTCATTTTTCATTTTTATCAGTACCAGGGATCGAACTCACGACTGCCAGCTTGCAAAGCAGGCGCTTATGCCGCTGAGCTAAATCCCCAGTCCCGGCACCCTCTTCTTAATAAACCCTCTTCTGCTCCCTTTCCAGTTACAGACGCCAGTACACAAGGGTCCTTTGCCAGAGAATTAAGACTGGTCTAGAACAGAAAAACCGCAGTTCCCATTCTGTAGGGTTTGGCATGGCCAGGGCATCTGGGATTGCAGCAGCACCTTGGCTTGGTGCCCTCTGCCAGCTGAGACCCCTGCAGCTGGGGAGGGGGTTTGATTGCATGTGTGGTCCTCAAATGGCTCTGACCTCCCTGCTTCTCTGCAGTCCTAGACATTAGAGCCTTTCTAGGGGAGAAAGTATCCAATGTTCTGGGATTCCTGGAGCGTCCAGAACCCTCTCAAGAGCGGTGCTCCTTTGCTACCTTGCTGAGACAGGCCCCCACCTCTCTAGTTTTTTTGTTTGAGCTATGCAGGTTAGGTTGATTCTGAACTCACTGGGCAACCAGGGCGGGCTACACCGTGATCCTCCCAAGTGTGAGGCCAGGAGAGGCCCCTCCCTTGTTTTCCAACCATCTCCCCTGGCCCTCCTGTTTGGTGCTTTGCTTGTTCTTCCTGGTTACCCCTGGTACTCTGGAGCAGGACTGTGGAGGTCGTGCACAGCCAGCCAGCAGTGAACTTGGGACAGAGGACTCAAGGGTATCAGCCTGAGCAGATAAACCAGGGGGTGCCCACCTTCAGCCCCATCTGCATAGAGGAGTGTGGATCTGCACAGAGGAGTGTGGATGTTACCCCACATCCGTGTGTGTGTGTGTGTGTGTGTGTGTGTGTGTAGTACTTGATTTAATTTTTTCTTAATTTGGTAGGGTAGGCATGATGCCTCTGTCCTGGAATCCCAGCATGGGAGCCTGAGGCAAAAGAGCTGCTGCCAGTTTGAGGCTAATCTGGGGTGTAGAATGAGTTTGAGCCCAGCCTGGATGAAAATGTGAGACCCCATCTCACATAAAACATGAGAGAGGAAGGAGGAAGTAAAATAAAACACTTCCTTACTTGGATCATGAAAGTAATCCACACCCATCACGGGCTTTGTGTAGCACTATTATGGACTGTGTATACTCTGCAGCCTGGAAATGGCCCTCTGGGGTGATTTGCTTTGCAGTTCCCTGTTTGCTAATGAGGAGACATCTTTCCAAGTACTTCTGCCTGTTCCTGTAAGATTCTATCCATGCCATTGCATTGTCTCTTGAGAATTTAGGAAATTCTTCATCTCTGCCAGACAGTGATTCTTTCTGGTTATGACTTACAAATATCTTCTCCCAGCTGGGTCTCCTCAGTTCTCTTTCTCCATGTACCCTCCTCATCATTTTGCATGTACCCTCCATCATTTTTCTCTGCAGTATGGGGAGTTGAACCCAGGACCGTTGCCTGTGAGCCAAGCTCTCTACCACTGAACTACATTCCCAGACCTTTGATTAAATTTTACTTTGACACAGGGCTCAGGCTGGCCTCCAACTTGTGACCTTCTTGTCTCAGCCTCCCGAGTAACTGGGATTACAGACATGTGCCACCACTCCTAGCCTCTTTTAACTTTTTATTTCAACATAAATACGTATTTGCACAGAAAAGTTGCATGGAGAGTGCAAAGAAGTCCTGAATGCCCTCCGTGTCAATTCCCCACAAGCCTTTTAGATTTGCCCCCTCTCTCTGTGCACACACACACCTTTCCTGAGCCCATGTAAGAGTTTTGCTCTAAAATACTTCAGTGAATATAAAAAAAAATACTTCAGTGAATATTTCATAAAAATAAAAACAAAACCTTCTTCTATATGGAAGCATTGCCTCTGAACAGTGATCCAAATCAGCAAGTTTACTCTGATCATTATCCCACCTACAGAATTCACCAATTGTCTTAGTAATGTCCTTTGGAGCAAATGAAAATCTTGTATCAAGTGTTATATTTGGTTGTTCTGTCTGTCTGTCTGTCTCTCTCTTCAGTATCAGGGATTGAACCCAGGACCTTTACACTGAGCTACATAAATCCCCAACCCTTTTAAAATTCTTAAATTTTTATTTTTTATTTTTGTGTTTTTCTTTTTTATCGGTACTAGGGATCGAACTCATGACTGCCTGCTTGCAAGGCAGGCGTTTATGCCGCTGAGCTAAATCCCCAGCCTCAAAATTCTTAAATTTTGAGACAGGGTCTTGCTAAGTCCCTAAGTTACCCAGCCTGGGCTCCAACTTGAGATCTTCCTGTCTCAACTTCCTAGGGTACTGGGAGGTTGTGGTGTCTCTTTAAGGTCCTTTATTCTGGAGCAGCATTTCTCTGAGTGTCCCGATGCTGGTACTTTGGAAATGACAAGTCTGTTATGTCACAGTCAGCCCCTCAGTGTGTTCTTTTCTCAAGCAACTTTTTTTTTCTTTTTCTTTCTGAGACAGGGTCTTGCTATGCAGTTCAGGCTGAAGCAGGGAAGACACCATGAGGCTCTGTGACTGCCCTGGCCTGTCCTCCTCAAATGCACTGTTCTGTGTCCACTGATTCCGGAATAGTCCCCAAATAGCAATGTTCTAATTTTTTTTTTTTTTTTTTGTCTTTTTATCGGTACCAGGGATCGAACTCACGACTGCCTGCTCGCAAGGTAGGCACTTATGCCGCTGAGCTAAATCCCCAGCCCCTGCAATTTTCTAATTTTATCCACATTTGCACAAATATTAGTTGACTTTTTATAGTACAAAAGGATTTTACCCCTTCTACTCTTTTATTTATACCTATGTAAACTTATATATTCTCCTATTCAATGGGTTATAGTTCTTACTATCTTTATTTTTATTTATAATTAATTTTTTTTTTGTCTTTTTCCTTTTCCTTTTTATCAGTACTGGGGATCAAACTCACGACTGCCTACTTTCTAGGCAGGCGTTTATGCCTGCTGAGCTAAATCCCCAGCCCCAATTAATTCCTTTTTGAGACAGGGTCTTACTCTGTAGCAACCTGGCCCCAAACTCACAGTTATCAATCCTCCTGCTGAGGGAGGAGGATCACCTCTGCCAGATGGTGATTCTGTTTATGAATTACAAATATCTTCTCCCAGCTGGTTCTCCTCAGTTCTCTTTCTCCATATACCCTCCATCATTTTGCTGAGGCCTCCTGAGTGCTGGGATTACAGGCTTGCGCCACCATGCCCAACTTCAAAATCTTGTTTGAGATCCTTTCCTACTTGAGTTAACAACAACAACAAAAAATCCTATTGCTTCTCCAAAAAAGTCAGAAATCTGCCTTTCTTATGTTGTCAGGTACCCGGAATTAATATTTCATGATTTTTTTTTTTTTTTTTGGCTTTTTCCCTAGCCCAACATTTCATGTTTTTACTGAGCTATATAACATATGTACAAAAACAATGCTCAAAACAAGCATGCTGCTTGGTTTCTTTTCCCAAAGTGAACAAACTCCTGTTAGCAGTCCCCTGGTTAAAACAGGACACCCATGGAGTTCTAAGAGCCCCTTTGTGTCTCTGCTGCAGATCTCTGCTCAGTCCCCTTCCCCAGGGTGGCCACTCTTATGTCTTCAGAACCCCTGGAGACATGGTGTGAGGCAGGACTCACAGTAGGGTTCTCTAGAGAAATGGTAGCAACAGGAAAAACAGATCAAGAAAATGGCTCACAGAACTGTGGGCTTGGCAGGTCCAAAGCAATTAGGGACAGCTGGCAGCTGGAAGTGTGGGTATGAGCTGATATCACAGTCCCAAAGCAGAATTTCTTCTCCTAAGGACTCTGGTCACTGGCTTAGGACCCTGTTAATCTAGAATGAG